CCCCCCACGCTGTGCCCATCAAACACTATTCACCTGGGAAGGGCTCATCTTGTTCCCCTGCACCTCAACCCACGCAGCTCCGTCCTGGCTTTCCACGATCTTGTACGGCACCAGCTTTTGTACGCCCTGCACCTCCTTGTCCTGCGGTATAGTGCCCGATGAACGCATGCTGACGGTGAATTATCTACGGACCATTGCAAACGAATAAACCACTTTCTTGACCGTACGAGTGGAGAAATGTGTACAGACGGTGAAAATCAGACCGTGGTTTCAAGGGTGCATCGTCCTCGCTGTGGCTAGAGGTGCAGGCAGCGATAATACTGGAAGAACATCGTTGTGATACGCGAGCCACGTTGGCAAGGTGTTGAGCCTCGGATCATGCGCCCTGCCAAACTTTGGGAAAAAGAGAGCGATGCAAGTCGGGCTCGGCATGAAGGAGGTTCGACGAAGCACGTGTTGCCAACAAGAAAGAACGAGCTGAATTCTGAAGCCTGTTCGCTCAAAGCGCAACCTACAATCGCGTTGGCGAGTTCATTCATTTTCACTTACGTTTTGCCCTCCACATTCAAGCATAGCAATCCAGCGTGACAAAGGCTTTGAGTTAAGTTACGCCGGCGGCACAGGCCAAGGCTATCAAGCTAGATAACCTAGGAAGAAGGCCGTGGCAATTGTCTACAAGCTTCCTTCCGCGTTTAGATAGATACGTTCACCTCGAGGTGAACCTTGCAAAGAGGCTCCTCCAGGAGTGGGGAGTCAAAAGGTGCTGCTGCCATCTATCTCTAGATTTGACCTCATCTCCGCCTTTGGACTGTCCCCCTTCTTTCAAGTGTACTACTACCGCTTCAACACAACGTGGCATGTCATTTCTGAAGTCAACGCCATGTGTTTTACTTGTGTATCGCGTATTTCTGGTGCACCCACCTTGAACCGGCGGCCGATGAGACGCTTGGTCGCGTACAAAGTAGACTCCGGGTTGGTCACAGACTGCCGCTTCGCCACGAGCCCGACCAATCGCGTTCCGTCCGGCTGTCGACGTGTCGACACAACGAACGCACAGACGAGAGGCGGTGGAGAGCGCGGGCTGGTGAAAGGCCCCGTACTCAAGCTACGCGACGGTACAGTCTACACCAAGCACGGCACGATAGGCTGGAGGACAGCGGTGGGCCTCAAAGGTGGAAGTATTGGATGCAGACGTTTCGACATGTACGACCGTTCGACAGCTGTAGTTGCATCAAGCCGGTGCTCCTTTTTTCGCACGTGTTGCAGTGAGGGTAAGCACATGAACACAGCAGTCTGTAGCATACTGCTACGATGCACACGTACACGTGCACGCATGTTCCTACAGTACTAAATAATCAACGAATACGGTCCTCAGGAAAACGCGGAGTTCTGTGGTCTGGTCCTTCGGTGGCTAGTCCAACGACATCAATACAAAACCCCAAACCAACGTGTTATCTGTGATACTGAATGCACACGATACGGACGTACAGCCAGCCCTCGCGACGTTACGTTGACGCTCACGCACAAACTCGTCTACCCATCACTGCATACAACCGGGAACCGATTTTGCAAAAAAAACAAAAGACCCGAAAGTGATTGGTTGGATTTGGACGATATCTTGCCACAGAGGGATGGGTTGAAACGCTGAGACATGCCTCCAACTATGTACTTGGCGCGCTCGGTAGTCTTCGCTGGTACCACACCGGAAGGAATACCAACTCCTCTAACAGCGTGGGTTTGGCCGCCGTTATCGACGAAATCTACCGAATCTACGGGCGGTAAATCTGCGGGACAATTTTGGCGGTGTGACCAACCACACGCCACACGAGTCAATCTACACAGCAGGGTACCTGGAAAACTCACGGTATCGCCACTACCATTACTGCTGTACCTCAAGAGTGCCCAAGTATAGCCGGACTCTGTGCTGCGACTACTTTCCGCACACAGCGGTCGCGCATGACACACACACACACACAGACCTACCTGAAAGGCCACGACAGAGGGGGTAGTCCGCGCCCCCTCGGTGTTCTCGATTACTCGCGCATTCCTGCCCTCCATGATAGCCACACAAGAGTTGGTCGTGCCAAGGTCGATGCCGATGATGTCACCGGCTGGTCCCTTGGAGGACAGAGCCCGCCGCGAGGCGGCCGCGCATAGGGGCAGTGGGGAGGAGGCGGAGGACGGGCCTCCCCGGATGTGCGCCAGTTGCCTCTGTGTTTATAAATGACGGGAGATAAGACAGAGGGATTGTGCACGGCGGGAGATAAGACGAGGCAGGCACGGCGTGTTTTTAGCAGCGGTTTTTGGAAAATCACATCGCGTGATACCGGAGGTCAGACTACTACTGTTGCGTCAGTCTTGGCAGCTGGATGAGTGGTGCTGCAAGTATTCTGTGGTTGATCGGCGGTTGCAATCACCGAGCAGACCTTCCGGAAAGGACACGGCAAGCGAAAAAACTGAGGTCTCGAGAAGGAGGAGATGCTGAACTTGCACCAACACGTCACACACACGTCGGCGTCGTGTCGAGCAACGAGGTTGACTATGCGAGATCAAGCAGTCGGGATTGACAGGCGGATGGATAGACACACAGAAAGCGAGAGAGAGAGAGAGAGAGAGAGAGAGAGAGAGAGGCGCTACACGGGACAAACAAGTCGGCGGTGCGTTGTCTTCTTCCACTCTGTTCTCTTGGGTGGATGGATCGATCCAGGAGTGGCAAAACTGACGAAGCGGCGAGGCAGCATGCGGTCGCGGAGAGCCCTCCACAGAATCCCAACATCACAACTTGTTTGCGACCGACGTGCATCCCTCGAAGGCGGCTAAGTCAGAATGCGCACCTGCGGCGAAGGCATACTGCCTCCAGGGTGTACAGGCAGACAGGGTGTTCTACTAGAGTGCACTGTTTGGAGTCCGTTAGAGTCTCACCTTGGCAACAGATCGGCCGAGCCTGGCTCCAAGCATTCTGAGTTTTTAGCCACAAAAAGCAGAGAGCGATGCACGCGAGGTGGTTTCCGTGTGTCGGGGAGTAGAACGTGTAAGGCAGCAGCTACGGCGGCCACTCGTTGCCTCTAGCAGTGTGATTTTATTTGCACGTGGTGTGTGAACCGGCTGTACTAGACAAGAGTGTGAGGACGAGCTGATGCCCTTGTCGTTGCTGCTTCAGAGGGACACGGGGACTTTCGTTTTCTAGAACATCAGTGGGTACATGAAGAATCAATGATTTCGCGGGGCTCCACGGCCGGAAGCGGCGCAACAATGACAAACCTCACCATGCACACCGGACAACCTATGCATACACAACATCTCCAAGCAGTTTAACTCGCAGTTTCACCTTGCCATGGTGGTGGGAGACTGGCTTTCAGGAAAATACGCGGTGTTGTTGATGTCCAGAGGTGTGATTACCTCGAGATAAGAGACGAAACGTGAGAGTCAAGCGCGGGGTCAGCCACAAGAAGGGAGACAGAGAGGCGTGCCTATCCAGACCGCCGCGTTCCCCAGGGGAGCAGGAACACAACAACCCATAAGAGCAGATAAAGCGCCCAAAAGCCCGAAGACACCTCACCCCGTGGATATATATTCACTGGTTCTTGCAAAGAGCAGTCCTTGGTGGACTCTGAGGAAGCAGCCTTGGAGAAGGTGAGTTGGAAATACGAAACTGTCCAAAGTCCACAGCGGCAGCTTGCTGGAGTGTGACGACGGGCTAGCATGGACAGCTTCACTTCACCGTCCGCTCCCGACGGAACAAGCGGCGGCCAATACAGCAGCACCCGGTCAAGCTTACCAGCTGCCTCGTCGGGAGCTGCGGAAGGGCAGCAACCTGAAGGAGAAGCACCGGGAGCGTCGGGGCAAGCGGCAACACCGCGTCAACAACCTCAGGGCAGCAGCATGTACGACCTCTTCCTTACCGCCATCGGCCTGACCCCTCCTGGACTGGGAGCAGAAACTTTTTCTCCTGGCGGATCGGGGGTGGAGGCCGAGGAGGAGGAGTTCTGGTCAGCTACGAACGAAGAAGAGAAGATCGGTGGTGTCCCAAGCGGCGGCGGTGGCGTTGTTGCCGAAAGTAGTCGCAGTGGAATGCCCCCCCGCCGGCAGGAACAGCAGCAGCCGGCTGTAGCGGCAGGTGGTGGTGCCGGAACAGAGAGCGGAGACAACGACAACAACAACGACGTACCGATAGGAGGTGCATGTGCAAACTCCTACAGCAGTGTTTCAGCGGTGGCGGGGGTACGCGGGAGAGGCACGACGTTCACATACAGCAGTGCTTCAGCAGTGGCGGGGTTAGACGGTAGAGACACGATGTTCAATAGCGTCGCAGGTAGCAACCGCTCGGCGCCGGCAGCCGGCGCTCAGCGACCCTCAGCAGGGGCTGAAATAGCGCGAACGCATCCGGGCGAAGCATCTGACGGTCAGGACGCCTCTGTTGACACGGCTGCTGACGCAATGTGCACGGCAACGGGAGCCGAGGGGACCGCCAGAAGAAGAAGGAGGCTATTGGGCAGTAACGCGGCGGTAGGGCCGGAGTCAGGTGCGTGACATGCCGCTCAGTTTATCAGGAACAGGCGCGCTCATCCTTGTGTCCTTAGACTCGATTTTCGGTATAAATAAGAGGCGTCTACGCTCCTCGCGGTGTGGTGGACATTGAAGGTTCGTCATGTAGGAGCGTCGATTTTGAACACGGAGAATCCGGACATGATATGCATGGTCGCCGAATGCCACTCATGTCGTGTATGCGCCAGAGCAACAAACACAACTACGCCTTTCTTGCCCGGCCGGACCCTCTGAATGCTTTTCCCGATTCTTCCTGCCCCGAACTTTCGCTCACGTGTGGACAGCAGACGCGAGAGCCTCTCGCTCCCGAACTTTTTCGGCCACCACACCTCGACTCTTCAGGCGGGGGAACCCTCTGTTCCGCTCGGGCGATATAGGCTCCTTCTGGCGCTCGAACGTCTTCGCCGGGAACGCCACCTTTGACGACGAGAATGACGTAGAAGAGGACGCGGCCGGCACGGGCACTCGCGCCGTGGAAAGGGCAGTCAACGGGACCTCGGCAGTGACGGCAGCAGCTACGGGTGGCCACGCCGCTACTGCCGTGGCAGACGTGGAACGTAATGACAGGGTCGCCGGCTGCAACAGTCTGGATAGTACCGAGAGGGGGGAAGGCGGTGACGGCGGCGGACAGGGACGAATATTGTTTTATCACAAGCCTACCCTGGCCAACGTGCCAGCTGGCGACATCCCAGATGTTGTTCCCGTGTATCTGGGATGTCCCAGGGGAAATATGGCCCTGGGGTTACCATTGGATGAGGCGTGGCAAGGGGAAGAACACCAGGTGCGTACGACTACGCACAGGAGCGGTGGAATAGGAGGATTCCGACAGTTCTTGCTCTCCTTCCTTGTGGCTTATCCTTGCTGAGAGATCGGCTGACACACGCCGGTTCATTCGCACCCGACGGTCGTTGAAACAATGTTAACTCCGGGCTGACCTGGTCGTATGGATTGCCATCAACGGATACCATGCAATAGTGTCGTCGATTGTTGGGCTGCGACCGCTCCAAGGCAGGCAAGGTTGATTGCTGGACAAGGTACGCCATGTCTTGATTACCTTTCAAACGGTTTGATCGCAGGCATCGCCGAAACTCTTCAGACACCGTTGCTCCTGTCGCAGAAAATCCGGTTTTGTTTTATCACGATTTGGCAGTTGGTTTCTCATCGCTATGTACATCGGTCATAGCGGCAATAAGTTGTGCATCAGCTACCTCCGCGTACTCATCTTTATTTTTCTTGTCTCAACTCCCCAAGGGTAACATCAGGTTCCCTCCTGCAGCTATTCATCACCTAATTGCCCCTGCTCGACACCTCGCAGGATACCACCTTCAACCAGAACCTGTCTTACACCATCCTGAGCTGGCCGGAGGATCACGTGCAGGACTTGCTCGAACTGTGGCGCCTTCAGGTGCTCTTTTTCGCGACGATCATCTTCAACATCTTGGTGTCGGCACTACTTTTTTTCACGGAGAACCCTGACAGGTGAGACGGAAAGTCGTGGGTGGCCCTATCAACTCCACGGATGGAATCTAGTTATGGTCGAGGTGTACGTCTGCGCACCGAACGATGTAAGGGATTCATGGATGCGCCAATATATTTCCCTTAAGCACTTCCTGGCCTGCGGCATCTCTTTCACATTTGTACGTTTCAACTATTAAGCTGTAAGAACGGGCCACGCATTTGGTTTGCAGCACCCCTCAATGTCACAATGCTCTGGAGGTGGGGGAGAACCGCACGGCACACGTTGAGGCCGGGGGTGGCATGATTGACTTGGCACTTTTTTTACGTCGCATTTAAAACTTGGAAGTGTCGCCGTTTGTGAGAGGACTACCTGGACGGCACGTGCTGATTGCGGACGGTTTGCTGACCGTGGATGGTTTGTGCCGTTGCTCTCCCTCGCGACAGAACGCGCGTTGAAGGTTTCGCGAGATCGGGTGCGTTCCCAAGGCCGTTCGAACAGCGCTCCCCCACCGATGACCCGACAGGCTTGAGATCAGAGGCAAGTAGGCACTGCGTTCACGTAAGATTCTGCCGAACGAAAAGCGGCACTTGTTTGTAGCTCGCTTTTTCTCGACATGTTTTGCACTTGACCATGCGCAGTTCATGAGGCAAGAGTTCCGGTGCTTCTCGTGGGACAAAGAGGTGGGCCGTCCTCAATGCGGTGGCGTATTTTTCTCTCCGTGCTACGGTTTTTTGTGGTTGCCCTACACCCTCGTTCGTGTTTTCGTTGATCCTCCTGCCCCCCACCCGTGTTCCATGAGCTCGAACTATTTGCCAATCCGCCTCCCGCACTTCCCGTGCGCGCACGCACTCCCACATGCGTGTGCTTCGGTCATTGTGGTGTATTCGCTTCAGGCGTGGCACCTCGCGGCTGCGTTGGTCCTCAGCCTTCTTGGCATCGTGTGCGTGTTGGCTCGATTGCGGGCGGGCATTGCGCTCTACCTCGTGCTGACCGTCGTGAACGCCGTCGTCGGCCTGAGCCACTCCCCAGACCCTCTGTTCGCGTGCCGCTACGCCATCGACGTTTTGCTAGTGGCGATGGGCCGATCGTATTTGTCCTCGCTTTCGTACACGTGGGTCACCGCCTCCGCAGGAGCTGGGCGATGGGGTTGGTAGTGTGAACAAGTACGAGGGAATTATGGTGGTGTCTGCGGAATGGTCCGACCCAACTCAAGTCTCTGGAAAACACGGGGCTGCAATTGCTGTGCTGCCTTCTCCCGACGAGTTTTGGCGGTGTTGGACGCGTATCAGGACAGGAACTGATTTGTTCTGTCAGAATTAGAATTGGTACTAGGGTTGCTCTCGAGAGATTGCTGCGCGGGTTAGTTTAGATGGAGTGTCGGGGTTAAACCTGCACGTGTCTAATGTAAAAAGTTCCTGTCAGCGCTGAATGTCGGAGACACTCGTACGTTGTGCATCGATTGGCAATTGCTATTTTCTGTTGGAAGAGGCCACTCTCATTGGCACGAATGCTTCGTGTGGACGAATGGTTTCAAGACTGCGGCGAGTCCGGGACTCTGTTGTCCGTTTCCTGTGCAGGTGATTTCATGTGTACGTTTGGTGTAGACAAGGCGACACCATCTTGTATCTTTGGTGATTAAAACTGGAAGGTAGAGCTTGTCGCAAAGGGGGCAAGGTTAACACAGTCATCATCAGGCCCGAAAGTCGTGTATTCCCCGAGTGCGTCTCGCAGCAGTATCCAGAACCGACTAAGTTTTTGTGATGTGACACAAACGCACTTTGAAACACTTACTCGGAGTATCATTTTTGTGTTTACTTTTTTATTCTCCCTTAAACAACCTTCAACTCAAGTCACATCAACTAAAGTCAAATGGAGTAATGACATAAAACTCCCATCAAGCACATTCCAATCCAAGATAGGATTGGTTTCTGCTCCGAACGAACCTAAAAATATTTTTTCCCCGCGATTTATTCAGGATTTATTGGCCGCAGTCAATTTTTCTCAACTCGCGAAAGCTACGCGCACGAAATCGCGGCGGTGCCTTCGCGCGACCTACGCCTCGACGGTCTTATCCAGGAAATTTCAGTGGAAGCGACACCAGTGCCAAATGCAAGGATTGTGTTCTACTTTTGCCCACACTAGCATCATTTTTTACGTCTTTTCAGTGTCTTCTGCTTTTTGGTCTTCGCCGCGGCTGAAATTCTCTGAGCTCAAGAAGCTGCGATGACGAGGCTCGCCGCCCTGCCCCCGCACACACGAGCCCTCGCTAACGTACCGTGCGTTTCAACTCGCATTGCATGCGAAGCATCGGGGGGGGGGGGGGGGGGGGGGG